TGTGTGTGTGTGTGTGTGTGTGTGTGTGTGTGTGTGTGTGAGAGAGAGAGAGAGAGAGAGAGAGAGAGAGAGAGAGAGAGAGAGAGAGAGAGAGCCGGAATCCCAAAGAAGAATCAATCCATCTACAAGCTTTAAGAAAAGGTTGACCTCCCACTTGTACAAATCAAGAGCAAGAACCTCAGCACCTCTACTTAGCCCAGGAATTGTTCCCTTTCCTGCAAAGAATCAGACCTAAGAACAGGAAGCCAACTGACCACTGAGACGAGATGTGTCTGCTTTGCACTTAAAGCGCAGCATCTCAGCTGCCTGGGAAGTGTAAGGAGAAAACACCCCGCCCCAGAGAAACTTCTTTCTTTCCTAACAACATCCACCACGTTGTAATGAGTAGGGACAAAAAGGGGCCTTGGCTACATGTCTAGTTCAATGACAGCCTGGCCTACGAAAGATACTGTCTCAAAATACCAAACGAGCCCAGCCTGTTTGCAAATGCCTGTAGTCCTAGTGCGTGGGAGGGGTAGGGGAAGATCAGAAGTTCAAAGTCATTCTTGTCTAGACAACAAATGCACATTCTGAGCTAGCCTGTGCTACATGAAACCTTGTCTCAGTCAAAAACTAGGTCTGGATGTATGTCTTTTGGGTAGAGATGCCCACTGCCAAGCAATAGGAGTTTGATTTCTGGGACCCACTTGGTGGGAGAGAGAGCTGACTGCTGCAAGCTGTTCTCTGACCTCCATGTGTGCGCAATGGTGTAGGTGGTACCCCCCCACAATAATAAAAAATACTTTAACAAAAAGGCCCCATATGAAACTAAGCAATACACCAAAACAATAACAACACACCCTTCAAATTCCTACATTAAAGAAGCAAAATCTTTTTCTTTTGTTTTCTTTCGAGACAGGGTCTGGCTATGTACCTCAGCTGGCCTGGAGCTAAGACCCTACTCTTTGAGCTTCCTGGGGGCTACAAGTACCAGTATGTGTTACTTTATTGGGTTTAAAAGAATTCTGACTACGTATATACACCCCAAGTGTGCTCCCCTCCAAGCTACCCCTTCTTGGTAAAACAACTTCACTTTCAAGTTGTTCAAGCCAGAAACGATGGCGTCATCTTTGTCCCCTTGGTCTTTCATACCCTCTCTAAATCCCATGATGCCACCCTCAAGTGTGTCAAAGTTCCAGCCTTCCCTATACTTCCTGTTACCAAACATCTGTCGCTACACGGCTCTGAGCCACAGCCATCTCTAGGGTTTAAGGGACTGCAGTGTCCCCTTGTAGAGCTCTGTGACACCTACAATCTCTTCTCGGCACAGAAACTAAACCAGAAATAAGGGCACAGTGGGACAAGGCAGACAGGCCGTCATGTCTTGAATCCATAAGGTCTAACCCACGGAATCTCTCTTCTCCTTTTCTGCAGTCCGTGGAATTGTCCTGACCCTGATCCCTGTTCACCTTGTCACAGGAGGAAAAGAACAGCTGACTAGCTACAGGACAGAGTCAGGGGGGTCTCCAGGACAAACAGGCCACCGAGCTGAATCTTACATGGAATTCTCCTTAAGAGGAGTCTTCAAGAAAGTCAGTCACCACAGCTAATAAATCCACATCTCCAAAGACCCTGGGAATCGCCGGTTGTCACCTCTGTGGACAAGCAGCCTGGATTCCCTGTGGTCACAGCTGACCGTTTTTCCTCTGTCCCTTTCTTTCTAATGACAGTTTCTCCCCAGGACTCTGAGCCACACTGCTTGTGTCAGTGACCAACAGAAGGGTCCGCATGACCATCTAATGCTACCAACAGAACAACCCTTTGTTTTCATTTTTAACTTTAGCTAAATATATATTATTATTTATGGGTCTCCCCATGTAACTCTGGCTGACCTGGAACTTGCCATATAGGACAGGCCTCAAACTTGCAGAAATCCTCCTGCCTGCCTCCTGAGTGCTGGAATTACAGGCTCCCACCGCGTTCCGTTTGAACAATCTTTTAAAAATGTAAGTCAGGGGGCTGGAGAGAAGGCTCAGTGGTTTGTTCTTGCAGGGTACGTTCCCAGTGCTAGAATGGTGGTTCACATTCCTCTTCTCTTGTTCCCTCTGCTCCTGCTCCCCTGATCTGGACACTCACATGCTCGGCTCAGGGCCTTTGCCCACACATCCACTTTAGACCGGTTCGGTTGCCACTCTCTGGGTGACTCCTTCCCTAACAGTGCTCTCTTCAAGCGCATGCTCACACCTCCAGCTCTGTCTTCTAGGCTTTCTGTCTGTCCACACTGCACTCACCATTTAACACTTTCCCCTTATTTCTTTATTAGTATGTTTCCCCCCCGCTGGAAAGTAAGTTCCAGAAGGATGAAGAATTCAGTCTGTTTCATGCTCAGATGTAGTCGTGCTGTGCGGTAACTGTAAAAAGGTCGTGCAGGTGCCTAGTAGATCTCCATTCAAAGGGTGAAGGGTGTGCCGCCCAGCTCTGCAGGGACCGATGGTCCGATGTCAGTTGCCGATAGCTGATGCCATTGCTGCTAGGATTTTAATAAGGACATCCTAAAACCCTAGCAGTGCACAGCTCTCCCTGAGCGCTCACTAAAGACACCTGGCTCCCTTCCTTCCTGTGCAGAGAGCCCCCAAATTCCAAAACCTAGATCAGGCGGGTGCCGTGGAATCACTATCCTCGCCCTTCCAGCTCTGCGAAGTGAACCCAGGCGGGGAAAGGATGCCCCTCTCCACGTTCACTCACCCATCCCATGCCAGATCACCAGCGGTGGCGGCGAAGGCGGATTCAGAGCCCCCAGCGACCAGGCGGCGCAGCACCAGAGCAGAAGAGCCACAGCCAGGAGCCACCGTGAACCGGGGGACGCCATCTTAGCCCAGTCACATGACCGCGAGCGCGCGCCCAGGACCAAGGCTTTCAGGGTCCCAGGTGACCACGCCCCCGCCGGGCAGTGTCTACCACGGACCAGACGCTGCTATTGTCCAAAGGCTTTCCATCTTTTAATTGGTCTATGCACTGCTCTCATTTTACACGCAAGGATACCCAGGTGACAATTTCTCCCCACGGATTTGAAAACATGTCTATTCTCTAAGGACGGTCTCATTTTTGCTTTAATTTATTTTTATTTTGTGTGGGGGTGTTTATAGGTGTGTGGCACGCGTGCCACAGCGTGCGTGTGGAGGTCAGAGGGCGGCTTGCAGGAGTGGGTTCTCTCCTTTCACTGTCAATCCTGGGGTTTGAACTCAGAACTCAGATCATCAGGCTTGGCTGCAGGAGCTTTTCCCAGAGGAGAATATTTTATTTTAGCACATGTGCATCTGAGAAAGGAGGCCCACAGAGGCAGCAAACTATTCAGTACTGTGTTGTACCCACTGCCCTTGGGAGAAAAGCTGTGTCTTGGAACTGGAGAAGGGAGACTTGATTTTCATCCACTGCTGGTTAGATCACGGTGGGTTTTCTTCTGGGTCTTGAAGGAAATGCAGGATTTCAACGGGGCAAAGATGTTCTTAGGGAGGAAGAGGTTTTAGCTCCTGCGGGGAGAAAGGAAGCTCTCAGGGATCCAGTCAGGGCTTCCAGATTGGCGTGGACTGTCAGGTGAGGGGTGAAGCAGGAAGATGGGGAAACATGGACACTTCCTAGCCAAGCTACACCCTGGCTTACAGCTAGAGGCTCTTGCCCTCTCCGCCCCCACCTCTTTTCTAGCTTCTCTCAGTCCAGCCCCAGCATTTCAATTATGGGGTCAAACATTTCCCCCCCCTAGAAAAACAATGAAAACGTTCAAATGAACCTGTCAAGTAGGATGTGTCCAGGGTACGGTGGGCTCTTTGGCACCGGCTTTGTAGAAGATGAAGTCGTCTTATAGAGAGTGACATGAAAAATCTGGAAGAAAAACCGGTCGCACACCCACGTGAAACCCTTCTCTTCCACATCGTTGAAACTAGTAGTTACTAGGTAGTTGAGAAGCCAGTTAAATACAGGATTAGGAAGCATTATACAGTGCGCAGTTTGATAGGCTTCGGTCCAGCAAGGTGATTCAGCTGGATGAAACACTGGCCACTAAGCTTGGGGACCTGATCCATTCCTCTTGGGGCTGTGAGAGCTTGAGGAAAGAAGCAAGTTGGGCAAGTTGTCCTCTGACCTCTGTATACCCACAGTGACTGTCTCCCTCCCCACATAAACGCACACAGTAAACAAACAAAACATAATACAAAGGAAAATAGCCTTGGGGCTAGGGAGATGTTGTGTTCCTCTCTTACTCGCATGAATTACTCTTTGCTTCTTAGGTTTTTTTTGGGGGGGGGCTGCCACTCAGCTCTCAAATAAGACACTCATGCGAAGACTTATTCTTACTTATAAATGCCTAGTCTGATATTTCTAGCCAGCTTTTATTAACTTAAATTACCTTTTGCCTCTGGGCTTTTTCCTTTTCTTACTTCTGTATAGCTTACTTTCACTCTTACTGTGTGGCTGGGTAGCTATGTGGCTGTGTGACTGGGTGGCTGGGTGGTTGGGGGCTGTGTAGCTGAATGACTGTGTGGCTTGGTGGCCGCGTGGCTGGGCAGCTGGCCCCAAGTGTCCTCTCTTCTTTTCTTGATCCTACCTCACTCTTGGCCATTCAGTTCTCTCTTTTTTGTGTGTGTGTGATTCTTTTTTTTTTATTGATACTTACTGAGCTCTACATTTTTCTCTGCTCCCCTCCCTGCCTCTCCCCTCTTCTTCAACCCTCTCCCAAGGTCCCCATGCTCCCAGTTTACTCAGGAGATCTTGTCTTTTTCTACTTCCTGGCTGTTCAGCTCTTTATTAGACCATCAGGTGTTTTAGATAGGCAAAGAATCACAGCTTCACAGAGTTAAACAAGTGCAGCAAAAACAAAAGTCACACAACTTAAAATAATATTCCCCAACAGGGAGACACTCAGGCAGTGAAGAGCTTGCTGCAGAAGCATGAGAACCCGAGTCAGATCCCACATCCACAGGAGTAGACATGTGCACCTGTGATTCTGCCTATTGCTAGAATTACAGGTATAGCCACCATACTGGCTACGGAAACATAACTTTTAAAATCAGAATTTAATGATACATATACACACTTGAGAAGTTGCATATAAAATGCTTCAGCAGCCAATTAGACTCTGGTTCTGTTGGTAAGTGTGTGTGTGTGTGGGGAAGGTAGCATTTCCCTCCCCGGTAGTCACAGCTACTCCATAACCTGTAGATAGAGACTGCTCATTCATTTCCCAGCCGCCCAGACCCAAAATAATTACAAAGAAACTATATTAATTACAACACTGCTTGGCTAATTAGCTCATGCATATTTCTAGCTAACTCTTACATCTTGAATTAACCCATTTCTATTAATCTATGTATCACCATGAGGCTCATTGTTTACCGGTAAGATTTTCTTGTGTCTGTCTCCTTCCACAGCTACCTGGCATTTTTTCAACTCTGCCTACTTTCTCTCTATAATCTCTGTTCATATTTACCATCTGGCTTTACTCTGCTAAGCCACTGACCAAACAGCTTCTTTAATAACCAATGGTAATAAAACATATTCATAGCATACAGAGGGTAATCCCACATCATCTCCCCTTTTCTGTCTAAATGGAAAGGAAGGTTTTAACTTTAATATAGTAAAATTTCATATAACAAAACAGGTATCAAGCAAGAATTGAAGTTATAATATTTATATCTACTTTATCTTTAATCATAACTAAGGAAAACTATAATTATAACTACCTATTCTTCAGCTTCATCAAAGGCCCCAGAAGGATATAATATTACCTAAGTAAACAGGAAGTGCATTGTAAGCAACTTTTAAAACTCTAGAATTGACTGAGACATCTCACTGCCTGGACAGTTTATATTTATATCTCTGTTTATATTTCCCATCTGGCTTTACTCTACTAAGCCATTGGCTGAAACAGCTCCTTTAATAGCCAATGCTAATAAAACATAATTCATAGCATATGGAGGGGAATCCCACATCAATAATCCAAAGGCAAAATCTTATGCAACAGGAGGAAAAACAATTATTAGTTAAGAAAATGAAATAATTTGAGAACCATGTTTAAAATCAGGTACTTACTTTTCTAAATAAAACTTTGGTTTATTTGTATGTGTGTGCATCTGTCTGTATGTGTGTCTATTTTTATGTGCGTGTATCTATGTATTTGTCTATGTGTATGAACACACATACACTATGGTGCACACGTGGAAGTCAGAGGACAACTTTTGGGAGTCAGTTTTCTCCTTCCACCATGTGAGTCCCAGAGATGGATCTCAGGTTGCCAAATGGTGGCAGGTGCCTTTCCCTGCTGAGCCATCTTGCTGGACCAAGTACTTAGGTTTGTCTTTGTTCTCTGAGAAGTATATTCTTGGGATGGTGGTGCAGCTCAACAGTAGAGTGCTTGGATCTGCAGCCTGGGTTGGAGAGAGGGAGGGAGGGGAAGAAGGTAGGTTTTGTGTGTGTGTATGGTGGCTTGAGGTTTCCACACATGCCCATGAGGTCAGTTGCTTCTGTTTCTCAGATTTCCATGTATCATTTGTATTCTTCATTTTTGGGGAAAACATGCTAAAATCTCCTCATAACGGTCACAGCGGGTCTTGTTCTCTTTGGCCATCTCATCTACTGATTGTCCCATGTCCAAATATTTTAGACAAACAGTTAACACTGTCTAGAGGAGAAGCGAAGGAGTTCTTACTTCCTCTGAATTTGGTTTTAGGAGGAAACAGTTAGTGAGAGATAAGTAAAGTTCTCTCAACTTTAGTTGTGATTTTAATAAGGAGCCTCCAAAGTCGCAAAGCCTGAATTTCCATGTTAACTTCAAAGAGTACTGAAAGCAGCTAAGCTCTCTGCCAGTTCCCCAAATAATTTGTATCGTGCAAGAAACTATGGGAACTGAGAAGCATCCAAAGAAATGAAAGCGTTTTAGAGTTTAAACATTCTAATGAACTCACTTGCTAGTATAGGAACCCATGAGCTGAGGAGCTATTGGCAGCTGATGCTGCAGAGCTGAGAAGGAGTCCCTTCTCTTCTTTGGGGTGTGGCTGTTGCTAGTTACCCATGTTTACCCAGGCAGCACTGATTAGACTCAATGGATTATAGAAAAGGAAGAATAGGAGGTGAGGAGGAGAAGAAGGAGGTAAAGAGGGAGAGGGAGTCCTTTAGCCCGTCATGACGGAAGGTGTGGTGGTGTTTATGGAGCCAAGAACAGCTCCTGACCATGGCAGCAGGAGTGTGCAGTTGGACTTGTGACGTGCTGACAGATCAAGGAAGAGACGGCTCAGGTTGGAAAGACGAGGGGGAGGAGGAGGAAAATGAGGAGCTGGAAGTGTACATAATTAACACACACATATACATGAAATTCACAAGGAAAAATAGAAAAAGAAAGAAACAAGAATCTAATTAAGTCAGTTTACCAAGAACGTGCCTTATCGCAGAGGTCTGATCTTAAGTCATTTTCCAAACCAGGCGTGGTGGAGCGTACTTGGAACACTCAGCAGCAGGGAGTTGGGGGCAGGAGGATTAGAAGTTCAAGGTCATTTTAGGTGTGTGGTAAATTCAAGGCCAGTCTTGCACGAGTGAAACCCTACATAAAAAAAAAAATCATCCGCTGGGCAGTGGTGGCTCACGCCTTTATTCCCAGCACTCGGGAGGCAGAGGCAGGCGGATCTCTGTGAGTTCTAGGCCAGCCTGGTCTACAAGAGCTAGTGCCAGGACAGGTTCCAAAGCTACGGAGAAACCCTGTCTCGAAAAACTAAAAAAAAAAAATAATAATAATCCAATGACCCTCATGTTTTTAGTATATTTAGATTTGAATTCAGTTTTCCTGAACCTCTCTCCTTTATTGTAGTAGTATTGAATACAATGTATACACTGTGTCTTTAACTGAACACAAATTCTC